TATTGGGGGCTCTGACATCTCTTATCACAATTCATACGTTCATTTAGTGTATCAAGCACATTTGTACATACCCAGCATATAATTCTTAAGTCAAGAAACAAAAGTTTTAAAGTTGGTTATCTAGACTACAGAGTAAATTTTCTATTAGGAACAACAGGTATTTTCTACTAGCTATAGTTCATGTCCTCTCTCAGCTCGCTCCTCATGGATGCAGTCTTATTCTCACCATGCTTGGTAGTGAAGCTTCAAGGAGAAAAGAAGCTAGGAAACTTTTTGGATGAAATATTGAGAATGTTGGCCTGTAGTAATTATGAAAGGCTTGTTACCAACTGTTGACTACTGTCATAGTTTCTAGTGCTACCATAAACCCAAAACAGCCAATTCAGGTGGGTGACTTTAAAGAAGGAATGTACTGTCTCCTCGTTTGGAACACTGGAAGTGTCCCTTCAGGACATCCAACTGTGGGTAAAGCCCATGTTTTCCCTTGGTATGTTTTCCGTGTGTGTGTGTGTCTGTCTGTTCTGTTCTTTTTGAAAGATAATACTTAGAAAGTGGGTACACAGGTACAGTTAAGAGTTGGGAACACAGGGAATCCAGGACAGATAAACCCCTCAAGACCAATAATGAGAGTAGTGATACCAGGAAGGTAAGGGGAAGGTTGGGGGAGAAAGTGGGGAAAGATCACAATTATCTACATATAACCCTTTCCCTGGGGGATGGACAGCAGAAAAATGGGTAAAAGAAGACATTGGTCAGTGTAAGACATGAAAAAATAATGATTACACATGATCAAGGGTTCATGAGGGAGGGAGGGTGGGTAGGGGAGGAAGGTGGGGAAAATGAGCTGATACCAAGGGCTCAAGTAGAAAGAAAATGTTTTGAGAATGATGATGACAATATATGTACAAATGTGCTTGACACAATGGATGGATGTATGGACTGTGATTAGAGCTGTATGAGCCCCCCCAAAAAAATGATTGAAAAAGAAAGTGGGAGCCCTGGTAGTATGATAGGTTGCATGTTGCTCCTAACCCTGACGTCAGCAGCTTGGAACCACCAACTGCAGCTGGGTCAGGAGATGAGACTTTCTACTCCCGTGAAGAGCTACCGTCTCAGAAACCCCACGGGGCAGAGTTCTGCTCCTTCGTGTAGAGTGGCTATGAGTCAGAATTAACTCAATAGCTGTAAGTTTTTGTGTTTGACTTAAAAAATTGATTAGATTTAGGACTCACCCTATTCTAGCATATTTTCATTTGCATAAAAGAAAAGCTCCCTATTTCAAAATTGACTTGTATACCAGAGCTAGGACTTCAGCACATTTGGGGCCAAACCAAAAAATCAAATTCACTGCCACTGAGTCAATACCAACTCATAGTGACCCTATAAGACAGAGTCCAACTGCCTCTATGAGCATCCAAGAGTATAAGTCTTTTTTTTCTCCCAAGAGTTTTATTGGCACATAATTTACATATCATATAATTTATTCGTCCAATCATTGAATAATATCAAGGGGAATTGTACAATCACCACATCTATATTAGAGTATTTCCACTCGCACCCCCATGGTTAAATCACCTTCATTATGAGTTGTACAATCCCAATCAGTTCCAGTGCTCCCTCCTGCCCTCATTAGAAATCCCCTTACCTTCCTATTGCCCAGCCCCCACCCCTACATTCCCTAAAACACCTTGTGTCAGATATTATCGTTACACGGCCACTCCTCCTGTGCCTCTCCACTGGGTAACCCAACAGAAAACAATGAAAAACAAATTGCACTAAGGTGGTAAGGATAATAACTTAAAAGACAAAAATAGAAACAAGGCGTGAGAGGGAGAAGACTCCCATCAACAGAGAATATAACTCTTAATGAAAGTAGAAGCAGGGAATTCTGTGGGGATAGAGATTCTAGGTAAATAGACGCATCTCCATCCCTTTATTTTCGTTGCTACTTTATAACTGTAATTTTGCTACTGTTATGAATCAGGCGAGCCCTGTGAAAGAGCCGTTCAAGTCCCAAAGGGATCACGACCCCATATCTTGAGAACTGCTGCGGTAATTTGAGGGGAATCCTCAAATCATGAAGGACAACGCTTTTCAACTTTAGGAAAGACTTGTTATTTGAGTATTGACAATTTCTTCAGAGCGTTTTTTTGACGCAATTGAAGGTACCTTTTGAGAGCATCTTTATTTGTCCTAAAGGGTCACTACAAGTCAGAATCAGCTTAACAACAGTGGATTTGGTCTGGGTGACTTGTTTAGGGGTGAGGGATGCCGTTTATTATATGCTTCCTTTTCAAGAGAGAATTTATTTTCTTCCAAAAATAAGTGTTTTCCCTATTCTCTTTAAGCTACCAACAGCTAAAAGTAATGTACGTAGCTTTTTAGTGGCCTTATAGTATACAAATATGGGGTATAATATTAAACATTGTAATAATTAAAAAGGAACCATGCCAAGCAACAAAGCCCACATGGAACAACATATCAGCCTGTGTGATCACGAGGTGTCGAAGGGATCACTGAAGACAAATGGGTGCATAAGCAAATGTGGCGAAGAAAGCTGATGGTGCCCGGCTATCAAAAAGTATAGCGTCTGGGGTCTTAAAGGCTTGAAGGTAATCAAGCGGCCATCAAGCTCAGAAGCAACAAAGCCCACATGGAAGAAGCACCCCAGCCTATGTAACCACGAGGTGTCAAAAGGATCAGGTATAAGGCATCATCAGAACAAAAAATCTTACCATAGTGAATGATGGCGGGAGTGTGGAGTGGAGACCCAAAACCCATGAGTAGGCCACTGGAGATCCCCTTGCAGAGGGGTCTCAGGGAGGAGATGAGCCAGTCAGGGTGCGATGTAACAACGATGAAAAATACAATTTTCCTCTAGTTCCTAAATGTTTCCTCCCCGCTCCCACTACCATGACTCGAATTTGACCTTGCAAGTCTGGCTAGACCAGAGGATGTACACTGGTACAGATAGAAACTGAAAATCCAGGGAATCCAGGGCGGATGAGCCCTATAGGACCAGTGGTGTGAGTGGCGAAACAGGGAGGGTAGAGGGAGAGTGGGTAGGAAAGAGGGAACCGATTACAAGGAACTATATGTGACCTCCTCCCTGGGGGACAGACAACTGAAAAGTGGGTGAAGGGAGGCGTCAGACAGGCCAAGATATGACAAAATAACAATTTTTAAACTATCAAGGGCTCATGAGGGAGGGTGGAGCGGGGAGGGAGGGGGCAAAATGAGGTTTAAGTGTTGGGGGTTTAAGTGGAGAGAAAATGTTTTGAGAATGATGTACAAATGTGCTTTACACAATTGATGTGTGTTTGGATTGCAGTAACAGTTGTATGAGCCCCTAATAAAATGTTTAAAAAAAAAAAAGAACCATGCTTTAATAGTCTGATATAAGTGTCATTACCAACAAACCTAAACCGTTGTTTATTTCCTCTAAGCTGTACTTCATAAGCTATATTCAACCATGGGGAAGGGAGATGGTGATCAGTGTAAGACATGAAAATAATTATAATTTATCAAGGAGTTACAAGGTGGGGAGGGAAAATACAGGCACTGATACTAAGGGCTCAATAGAAAGTAAATGTTTAGAAAATGATGGCAACATTGTACAAATATGCTTATATAATTGATGTGTGAGGTGTTATAAGGGCCCCCAATAAATTGATCTTTTAATAAAAATTGTTCATATGTGGGATTATGATTTAAATCTACTTTCTATAAAAAGGATTTTTTTTAAAAATTTTAACTCTTGTTTACTGATGTTTTTATTCTCTTCAAGAGGCAGTACTAAAAAGGTTAAGAATATAAATTAAGGACGGACTCCTGGGGCCACAATCCTGATCTGCTACTTTGTGTGTGTAATTTTTAGCAGGTTATTTAATTGTATGTATCTCGGTTTCCTTATAGTAAAAGGACAGAGCAAGTTACTTAATAAAAAGTATTTAGAACAAACCAAACTTGTTGCTATCTAGTAAACTTGACACACAGTTTGTATTTACCATACACAAGAAAGGTCTGCTAACTGTTACAGAATCATTGATAATAATTCTTTGTATTTAAATATAACTATTAAAACATTTTAAAATGAGTTATAGAAACTTGTTAACCTGAAGGTTGGGTTTCATTTAGCATTGACATCTTTCTTGATATTACTTACTATGTATCTTACTTAGTAATATTACTTACTCAGTACATGATATAAGTAAAAAAGTACAGCAACATAAGCATAGGTACCTTTATTAAATAAATATATAAAAAGATGAAGCTATTATTTCTGGATATATCCTCCATCTAGGTTTATACACTTTTGAAGTTTTTGTTTTCATCTCTCTAGACCCTCCCCCAGTGGTTGTGCTCTATTTCACTTAAGCCACAGCATTAACAGTGATTTTGGCACCCTTGAGGGACTCACATTATTTCCCTTTTCAGTGTTCTTTGGGTTTGGGAACAAACAAGTCGGAATGGGCAGGCCCAGGGCTGTAGTATGGAGAGGGTAAGGTTTTCCTTGGCCAGCCTCAAAGAACCAACTGTTGTGATGGAGAAATTTTCCGTGGAAAAGCGTTTCTGGCCTTTTTCTCACCAGTGCACTTTTCTTAAAACTTCTTCTTAATAAGCTCCTGTGATCATCCAGTGTCCTTGGAGAAAGTCTTATCAAGATTACCCCTTTTGGATCCCCCCAAAAAACAGTTACCATAACCCTGTGAGCTTAGACCTTTTTGCCATGAATTTACCTGACCCATAAGCTGCACTTGGAAGCTACTGTGTGGATTAGATTTTTTGAAGGCATGTAATGAGGCTAAGGCAGTTTTACTGAGAATTTTTCTGCAGCCATTCACTGATTACAGAGACATGTTTAAACATTTTATTTGGAATTAATTCATGTAAGTATAAACTGGAGCCTTAGTAGCAATACTTTTTTACTTGTGTTGCATATAATGAAAATGGAGATTAAAATTAAATTTAACATACTATTTTTTTAATTTAAATTTCAGCTTTACCAACAGGGACGGTTATGTCAACTGGGCAGTGAATTTTGTGAATTGGAAGTTTTTGCTAAGGTCTTGAGAGCTTTGGATAAAAGGTAAGTTCATTTTCAAATAGCATTTATTTTTCCGAATTCTTTACATAACTAAGGAAGTATTTCTTAAATGTGGTATTGGAAAATGTCAGATGGATAAAATAAGCTTACCTTTAACAAATATATTGCCTACCTTTAACAAATATAGTGCCAATATAAATCTCTAAAGTTGTTTCAAATTGTTTTGTGTGTATGTCTGGTATGATTGTAATATGTAGCAGCTTATTTGCATTTTGGAAGCAGCAGTCTTTTTTCTTTGAACACTTGTTACGTACATAAAAGTACATCAATTGTATCAGCAGGGTGAGTGGTCACAAAATAAGTATATTTGTGTAGCCAACATCTAGCCCTAGATAAAGTAAAAAATTGTAACCAGAACCTCTATTTTGCCTTCTGTCTGAATTATTCCTTCTTCCTAGGTTAACCACTAGATTTATTTTTACCTGTTTCTGAGCCTTCCATAATAGAATCACCAAGTATGTATTATTAATTTGACTTCTTTTTAAGCTTAGTATTATGTTTATGAACACCATCCAGGTTGTTTGTATAGTGTGTTCCTTTATGTTGCTGTATATATATAGTATTTTATCATTTTAACATTTTTATTCACTTGTTCCACTGTTCTCATTCTTTTGAACTGTTTCCAGATTTTAGCTGTTAAACACAGCACTGCTGTGAACCTTGTTTTTGTCATTACAATGTGCATGGCATGTACATCTATTAGCTATATGCATAGAAGTAGAGTTTGGAAACTGTTTACAATATTTACATACGTAGTGTGTCCAGCCAGCTTGATACAGATGTGCAGTCCAAATAATAAGCTTGGTGCAGAAGGAGAAACTTTGTCCTCCATTGTCCCTGCACCAATCTCCTTTGGAAAGCTAATTCTGTGGCAAGTTAGCTTTCTGTGTTCTTCAATGAAGTAGACCCAACTCATCTTCCCTGTTGTATCTATTATCATGTAGGTAGTAGATGCTACAGAAAGATGACATTGCCTTTGATTGTACCTGCTGTGCTGTACATAGCATTCTGCCCTACACAACCGTTACCTATCAGCTGCTTTTTTTCCCCCAGAGCCCGTAGTTCTAGGAAAATCAGAATATATCGGTTCACAATAAATTGCTGGTCTCCAGTACAAATATTGATAAGTTTTATTTGTTAACCAAATGAATACATACTTATTGAAGGCCTAGTGTGTGCCACCCTGTCCTAGATATTGGGGCAGGAAATAGGGTCTTTAAGGTCCTTTCCTTAGGGAGTTTATGTTTTAGACTGGAATGAAAAGTAAATTAGTGGAGCAATTTTATTGTTCAGAGATAATGAAATGTGGACTATGTATTAGTATTAAACCTGTAGAGAAACTTCTTGGTTAATTAATTAACATTAACCAGTAAGAATATAATAGAAGATAATGTCTCCATTTTGGTAAAGAAAAGTTTCGAAAACTCTTTACTCTTAAGGGTGGCTTGCTTCCTGGTGGTGCAGTGGGTTATTTATTGGGCTGTTAGCCATAAGGCTAGCAAGTCAAGCCCAGCAGACACTGCAGGAGAAAGGTGAGGCTTTCTGCCCCTGTTAAGATTTATAACCTCAAAAACCCATAGGGGAAGTTCTGCTCTGTTCTCTAAGTTGGAATTGACTCAGTGAATTTCTTTTGAGTTTAAATGCAACTATAACAGAAACACTCCCAGAAGATGGTTTTAACAAATGAATTTATTTTCTCACTCTGTAGAAGACTAAAAGTCTAAATTCAGAGCACCCCTTCTATGGTGGCAAGGTTTTCTCCAGATTGACACTAAGCCTTAGGAAAGGACCTTAATCTCTTTGCTGCTTCTATCTCTTTTATCTAAAAAGTGATTGATGTAAGACAACACCCAACACCAATACTGTCTCATTAGTATAATAACAAAAGACAATTCTATCCCCAAATTGGGTTATAACAGCAGGTATACAAGGTTAGTACTGATCAAGTGCTTGGATTGCTAACCTCAAGGGCAGCCATTCAAACTCACTAGCCACTCCTCTAGAGAAAGATGAAGCTATTTCATCCCATAAAGATTTACAATCTCTGAAGCACTGTGTATTGTTACTATGAGTTGGAATCAACTCAGTGACAGTGGATTTGGGCGTACTTTTTAGCAGTAAAATTGATAACACATATTTATTTTGGGAACACAATTGTATTCATAATCTTTGGTTGATGTTTAATTATAAAACTAAAAGCACATCGTTTGACCTTTAAAGTACTATGGACTGCCAAAAGAGCACATTTATTTTAGGTAGGACAACTAGAATGCTCCTTAGAGGAAAGGATGGTGAGACTTCATCTCATGTACTTTGGATATGTTGTCTGGTGAGACCAGTCCCTGGAGAAAGACATCAGACTTGGTAGAGGAGTAAAGGGGGGAAGAAAGCCCTCAACAAGATAAATTGACAGAGTGGCTGCAGCATATGACTCAAACATATGAGGATGACACAGGACCAGGTGATGTGATGGAGTGTATCGGGTTGCTATGAGTCAGAACCAGCTGACAACAACATAACAAGCAGTGCCTTTTTTCAAGCACTGCCTATTTCATGTTTAACCGTTTATCTTGTAGAGATTAATTCACACACGATAAAATTCATTCTTTTAAAGCCTACTGTTCCATGCTTTTAGCATATCCATAGAGTTGTTCAACTCTCATCACTAATTTCAGAGCATTTATCTACTCTAAAAGAAACCTTGACTCATTAGTAGTCATTTCCTATTCCTTCGCCTCAATCCCCAAGTCCTGCCAACCACTTACCTTCCTTTGTCTTTCTGATTTGCCTCCTCTTGATATGTCATGAACATAATAGAAATCATGCAATATATGCTCCTTTTTGTGATTTTCACTTAACTGTTTTTCAAAGTTCATTCATACTATAGCAAGTATCAGTATTTAATTCCATTTTTTCTTCTTAACCTTTATTGAGATCTAGTTAACGTGCTGTACAATTCACCCATTTCAGGGGACAGGTCTGTAGTTTTTAGAATATTCACAGATCTGTGCAGCCATTACATTACCATTGTCAATTTTAAAATATTTGCATTACCCCTTTAAAAGCTATCAACTCTTTCTCTGCCAGCACTTAGCAATCAGTAATCTGTAGTCCTGTCTTTACAGATTCAAGGGAATGGGATTATGTAAAGTGTAGTCTTTTACACCTTGTTTCTTCACTTACATAATGTTTTCAAGGTTATCCATGTTGCAGCTTGTATTCGTGTTTTTGGTTCTTTTCTATAGGTAGTTTTCCATTTTATAGATGTATACATTTTATTTGTTCATGATTTGATGAACATAACAGGGGTTGTTTTCACTTCATGATTACTATGAATAATGCTGCTTCAGCATTTGAGGACTAATGCTTTGTGAACATATGTTTTAGGTTCTTTTGAGTACACTCCAGGAGTTATAATTCTATTTAATTTGTAGGAGTGTGGGGGTTGAGTAAAAGTTTAGAGAACAAGGTAGTTTTCTTCCTACCATTTTCTATACATCTTGTTTTATGACATTAGTTAAAATCCCCTCACCGCCACAGCATCCTGCCCACTTTTCCCTGGGCTCCCTGTTTCCATTTGTCCTTTGCTGCTCCCTGTTTCCATTTGTCCTCTTTCTGGGCTTCTCTGTAGGTCTCGTGTGGTTCATTGCCCTAAGGAGTTCCTTCCTCATGGTCGTTATTGTTAGTTTTATAAACCCATCTATTTGAGGCCTGAAAAATGATTGCTCACTTCATAAGACTATTTTTGAAGTGCATATTTTATTTATTTTTTGTTTTAAATATTAGTTATCTTTTTACAAATCGTTTTATTAGGGGCTCATACAACTCTTATCAAAATCCATTACAGACACCAATTGTGTAAAGCACATTTGTACATTCATTGTCCTCATCATTCTCAAAACATTTGCTCTCCACTTAAGCCCCTGGCATCAGGTCCCCATTTTTCCTCTCCCTCCCCGCTCCCCCCTCCCTCATGAACCCTTGATAGTTTATAAATTATTATTTTGTCATATCTTGCCCTGTCCGATGTCTCCCTTCACCCACTTTTCTGTCGTCCATCCCCCAGGGAGGAGGTCACATGTAGATCCTTGTCATCGGTTCCCTTCATAAGACTATTTGTTTATCTAAAAATTGATCCTTGAGGCATGAGTTCAGTTCCTAATTTAAAAGGTGTCCAAGGACAACATAGGGTCCTATGGGTTCTACTAGTGTCTTTTATCAGACCTGTAAGTTGGGTTTTAGGATTTTTTATTTTGTGTCACATTTCTTCCACTCTGTCCCTGACAGAGCAGTCCTTGTGGTAGTCAGGCTCCTCATAGTTCTTAGGCCCGCAAGGTTGAGGTTCACGTGGTTCATTAGTCCTTTGGCCTAATTGGTTCCTTGAGTCTTGGATTTTCTTCCTTCTTCATTGTTCTGGAAAAACAGCCCTGTGGTATAGTGAGCTGTGCACTGAGCTGCTATATGCAAGGTCAGCAGTTCGAACCACCAGCTACTCTGCTGGACAAAGACGGGATTGACTATTCCCATAAAGATTTATAGTCTTTGGGGGGGGGGGCGGAATGTTGTGAAATTAGGTAATGCTATGCATTCACATCTCTGAATAACTAAAAGTCACCAAGTAGTGTGCTTTTTTTTTTTTAAGGTGTATGCTTTTAAGGGTGGATTTTATTGCATGTGAATTATATCTCAATAAAGCTATTATAGTTTTCTTTTTCTTTTTTTTAAGGTTTATAGTTTTGAAAATCCAAAGGGCCAGTTCTGCTCTGTCCATTAGAGTTCCTCTGGGTCAGAATCAACTGGATGGCAGTGGATTATTTTGTTCTAAACAAGGAGAGACCAATTGTTGAATCTTTTGATCTCTTCACTAACTTTTAAGACTCCAGTCACTACTCGCCAAAGTAGGCGTAGAGCAGTGGTTCTCAACCTTTCTAATGCCGCGACCCTTTAATACAGTTCCTCATGTTGTGGTGACCCCCAACCATAAAATTATTTTTGTTGTTACTTCATAACTGTAAGTTTGCTGCTGTTATGAATCGGGTGACCCATGGGTTGAGAACTGCTGCTGTAGAGCATTATCCTTGTGGACTGTGTCATGCCAGTTGACCTGGGCAACCCTGTAGGCTCAGCATCTCATTTCCTCAAGGTGTTTGGTTATGTCTAAGAAATTATCATCATAACTTTCTATTCCCACCACATTCTTGGATATACTTGCAGCAAAGCTAAACACACGTGCAAATACTCTCTATCAAACTTATATATATTTATGAGTTTACACTCTTCCTTTTCATATCCATTCAGCCTTTTGTCTGTCTATACAAGGGGTACCAAAAAAAGAACAAAAGTGGAAAAAAGCTCTGCTGTGCGGTGCTTTCCCTAGGAGAGCATGGAGCAACTCACTCTGAGTTAGTGCACCCAGTGGAGTTGCCTGGGAAGGTTCTGTCTGGTCACAGTGAATTTTTCGTAAAAGCATTTTCGCTCTAACCTCATATTTTGTGATGGCCGATTTAAGAGAACATCATGTGGCTGTGGAATTTTATTTCCTGTTGGAGGGTGGTGGGGGAGTGGGGGGGAGGGGGAATGCTGCAGAGACTATTGTGATGTTGAGCACAGCCTACAAGAACAGTGCTATGGGAAAAACTCAAGTGTATGAGTGGTTTTCTCATTTCGAAAAAGGTGAAATGTCGATGGCTAACAAACCTCGATCTGGACATCTGTCAACTTCTGAACGGATGAAAATGTCATGCATTTGGAGTTCAGTCCACCAGGTCAGACTGCTAATCAAGCTTTCTATTTAGAAGTTCTGAAAAGATTGCGTAACGACAAAAAAGGCCTAATTTGTGGCAGAAGGGAGACTGGTTTTGCTACCATGACAATACACCTGCTCATGAAGCCATCTCAGTGCACCAGGTTTTTGCCAAAAAACAGCATGCCTCTCTTGCCCCATGCACCTTACTCACTTGACCTCACTCGTGTGACTTATTTTTGTGTCTATATATGTGTCTATATATATGTGAAAGGAAGGAGATTTGACAACTTAAGAAGAGGTGAAGAAAAAAACAAGGGAGGTACAGTCAGCCATCCAAACACATGAGTTTAAAAAATGTTTCCAAGAATGGAATTGCAGATTTGACAGATGCATTATATTTAATGGAGAGTACTTTGAAGGTGATAAAGTTGTTTTGTAAAAAAATTTAAATGCATAGCTTTGGGGGAGGGGGAGCATTCTGGTTTGGGTGGGGGTACCCCTCATGTGCATAGTTCATTGTTTTTTGCAGGGTTGTGTTTAATTCTCATTCTACTTCCTTTTTCTCCACTTGTTTCATCGTTGTTGTTTTTTTTTGTCTGTTTGCCAACTACCCTCTTTCTTCCCCTCACTCAAGTTAACACTCACCTAACCTCTAGTCAGTTAGTCCACTCTCCTCCACCTCCCATAGCCATCAAAGGTTTCTTGTAGCGTTAAAACCTTTTCTTGACTTTTTGTAATAGTGGTCTAACACAATATTTACCCTTTTATGATTGACTAATTTCACTCAGAATAATATCCTCCAGGTTTTCCATGTTATGAGGTGTTTCACAGATGTATTGTTATTCTTTATCATTGTAGAGTATTACATTATGTGTGTGCACCATAATTTGTTGATATATTCATCTATTAGGGATTTAGGTTTGTTTCTGCTCTTATGAATGAGGTTGGGATGAACATAGGTATGCATATATCTATTTCTATGATAGCTCCTATTTCTCTTGGATATATAGCTAATTATGGGATTGTTGGATCATGTGGTATTTCTATCTCTAACTTTTTAAGGAAGCGCCAAACTTTCCACAAAGGTTGCAGCATTTTATAGTCCTGCCAGTGGTGTATGAACGTTCCAATTGCTCCACACCCTTTCCATCCTCTATTGTTTTCTTTCTTTCTTTCTTCCTTTCTTTCTTTACTGGAGGAAGATGATATCTCAGTGTTATTTTGATGTGCATCTCAAATGATTAATGATCAGAGCATTTCTTCATGTGTTGGTTAACTCTTTATTGGTGTGGAGTGTCCAAGCCCTCTGCCATTTTTAATTGGATTGTCTTTTTGTTGTTGAGGTGTTGAAGTTTTCTATAAATTTTAGAGATTGCTTATGCAGTTTGAGTATATGTTTTATGGTTTATGTATGCATGAATTAGGCCTTCAAAGTTTACCTCTTAATTTTTCTTTAAGTATTTAACGTTTTGTGGAACTGCCAAACTTCACAGCAGCTGAAGCATTTTACATTACTATTGTATGAGGATTCCAGTTTTTTTACATCTTTGCTAATATTTGTTATTTTTAATTTTATTATTGTTATTGTCGTGCAGTGGCTGTAAAGTGTTATCTCAGTGTGATTTTGATTTGCATCCCCTAATGACTAATGAAAAGGAGCACTGGTTATACATAGTTGAGCACTTGGCTGATAACCCAAAGGTTGATTGTTCAAACCCATTCAGAGGCTCTGGGCATCTAATGAAAGGAGTTTTAAGTTACATTCTAGACCAGGGGTCCTCAAACTTTTTAAACAGGGGCCAGTACACTGTCCTTCAAACCCGTTGGAGGGCCAGACTATAGTTAAAAAAACTATGAACAAATTCCAGTGCACACTGCACATATCTTATGTTGAAGTGAAAAACAAAACAGGACAAAAACACCTGGCGGGCTGGATAAATGTCCTCTGTGGGCCGCATGTGGCCCGCGGGCTGTAGTTTGAGGACGCCTGATCTAGACAACCTATGGGCAACTCCCCTCTGCTATATGGGGTTGGTTTGTGTAGAAGTAGACTCGGACATAGAACCACAAGAATGATTAGTGATGTTGAGTATCTCATGTACTTACTCATATCTATTTCTTCTTTGGAGAAATAGCTTATTCAAATCCCCTGCCCTTTAAAAAGTTTTTTTAAATAAATCATTTTGTTGGAGGCTCTTACAGTTCTTTTAACAATCCATATATCAGTTGTATCATGTACATTTGTACATATGTTGCCATCATCATTTTCAAAACATTTTCTTTCTACTTGAGCCCTTTATATCAGGTCTTTTTTCCCTTCCCACCCTCCTGGACCCTTGATAAATTATAAATTATTTTTATTTACATATCTTACACTATCCACTGTCTCCTTTCACCCACATTTCTGTTGTTTGTGTGGGGGTGGGGGGTGTAATGCATCAATCATTACAATCCGTTCCCCCTTTCTCCTCCCACATTCCCCCTACCTCATGGTATCAATACTCCCAATATTGTTCCTGAGGGGTTTATCTGTCATGGATTCCATGTGTTGAGACCTTTTACCTGTACCAGTATACATGCTCCAGTCTAGTGGATTTGTAAGGTAGAATTGGAGCCATGGCAGTGGTGGGGGAGGAAGCATTAAAGAACTGGAGCAGTGGTTCTCAACCTTCTTAATGCTGCAACCCTTTAATACAGTTCCTCATGTTGTGGTGACCCCCCAAACTTAAAATTATTTTTGTTGCTTCCTCACAACTGTAATTTTGCTTCTGTGATGAACTGTAATATAAATATCTGTTATGCAGGATTAGGCGACCCTTGTGAAACCCCCAAAGGGGTCGAGACCCACAGGTTGAGAACTGCTGAACTAGAGGAAAGTGTGTTTTATCGGTGCTATATTGTATCCTGATTGGTTTGTCTCTTCCTTGTGATGACACTTCTGTGAGGGGATGTCCAATTTCCTACATGTGGGCTTGGGTCTCGACACCGACGCCCACCCCCCCTAACCCCTTGCCTATTCCCATCAATATGATTGTTTTTGGTCTTCTGATGCCTGATACCTGCTCCTGTTGACACCTCATGATCCACACAGGCTGGTGTGCTTCCATGTGGGCTTTGTTGCTTCCCTGCCAGATGGCCGCTTGTTTAACTTCAAACCTTTAAGACCCAGATGCTGTATCTTCTAATAACTGGGCACCATCAGCTTTCTTCACCACATTTGCTTATGCACCCATTTTGACTTCAGTGATCATGTTGGGAAGTATATTGCTCATTTTAGAATTAGTTATTTAGCTTTTAATTTGATTTTGGAAGCTAATATCAACAACTATGTGGACAACTCTTTTTAGTTGACCTTGTATATATTGAATTGTATGATATGTGAATTATATGTCAAAACTTTTAGAAATTAAAATGTAGAAAATGAAGTGTTGCTTATGAAATTAAAAGTTAACTTCACCTTTTCTCCATTTGTTGGTTTATTGCCATCAAATTAAATATCATGGACTCTTAGTGATCCATAGTTGACTAAATTGTAATTTCTTGTGACCTCATAATTCATAAGGCAGAATGATTTTCAGTCTTAATCCATTCTGGAAGTCAGTGGAGCTATTAGGTGACGCTGCCTAGTAAGTATGGAATGACTGTAAAGTTGGCAGTTCAAACCCACCAGGGAAGAATATGGAGTTATTTGTACCCGTAAAGATTTACTAACTTCGAAAACCTTACAGAGGGTCACTATGCGTCGGAGTTGACTTAGTGGCATTGGGTTTGTTTGGAGTTTACTACTTTTTAAAAAGCAAGCTAGCTCTTTGTAAAAGAACAAAAAAGTGTTCTATTTTTAAAATAATGGTTTTTATTCTCTTTCAGACATTTGCTTCATCATTGTTTCCAGGCTTTGATGGATCATGGTGTAAAAGTTGCTTCAGTCTTGGCCTACTCGTTCAGTAGACGATGCTCTTATATAGCAGAATCAGATGCTGCTGTAAAAGAAAAAGCCATTCAGGTTGGATTTGTTTTAGGTAAGTAATACTAACACAAAAGTATGCTTTGTCCTGTGAGAAGACTCCGAATAAATCTGATGATAGAAGACTCAGGACTATCCAAAGGTGGTATAAGTGGGTTATCAGAAAAAAACAGATGAAATTGATTTAATTGAATAAGATGTGTTATTGAACATTAACATGTATTGATAATTATCTGGTAAAGTTATTGTACTTTTTTCTTTTTGCACAGGGGCTCCTTGTCCCTGTGTCAGGACCAAGAAAGTGAATATATTTTCCATTGGGTATATAAAATGGGGCTTACAGATCTTTCAAAAGGCATATGTGTCAAATAGCAAACATATCACTTAGTTGATGGGTAACATAATAAACATGCAGTGAAGTGAGTCATCATCTTGACCTAGTGCTAGTTGGCCTCGGAAACCCCGAGTCCTCCCCAGGGGAGCAATATATGATCTATAACGGCAAGAGACTTCAGAAGAGGGCTTGCTACATTTTAAGCGGGTCAGGCTATAGAACTTGATTGCTCTTATCTACAGATAACTTTAAGGCATAGTGAAGAGCAAGATGCAGGCATGAAATATCTTTTAGAGTAGCTCCTTTATGAGAGTTCCTTTATGTGGGGGGTTATTGGAGTAACTGTGTTCAGTCATGAGAATGTGTTTTTTATTTTTTAGGGTCTTTTTTAAAAATTGTTTTATTAGGGGCTCATACAGCTCTTACCACAATCCATACATACATCCGTTGTGTAAAGCACATTTGTACATTCATTGCCCTCATCTTTCTCAAAACATTTTGCTCTCCACTTAAACCCCTGGCATCAGCTCCTCATTTTCCCCCCTCCCTCATGAACCCTTGATAATTTATACATTATTATTTTGTCATATCTTGCCCTGTCTGATGTCTCCCTTCACCCACTTTTCTGTTGTCTGTCCCCCAGGGAAGAGATCACATATAGATCCTTGTAATCGGTTCCCTCTTTCCAACCCACTCTCCCTCTACCCTCCCAGTATTGCCACTCACACCACTGGTCCTGAAGGGATCATCTGCCCTGGATTCCCTGTGTTTCCAGTTCCTATCTGTTCCAGTGTACATCTTCTGGTCTAGCCAGACTTGCAAGGTAGAATTTGGATCATGATAGGGGGTGGGTATGGGAGGAGGAAGCATTTAGGAACTAGAGGAAAGTTGTATTTTTCATCGTTGCTACATCGCACCCTGACTGGCTCTTCTCCCCGATACTCTTCTGTAAAAGGATGTCCAGTTGCCTACAAATGGGCTTTGGGTCTCCACTCCGCATTCCCCCCCTCATTCACTATGGTAATATTTTTGTTCTGATGCTGCCTGATACCTGATCCCATTGACACCTCGTGATCTCACCAGCTGCTGTGCTTCTTCCATGTGGGCTTTGTTGCTTCTGAGCTAGATGGCCGCTTGTTTACCTTCAAGCCTTTAAGACCCCAGACGCTATATCTTTTGATAGCCGGGCACCATCAGCTTTCTTCGTGAGAATGTGTATTAAGAATTATTTATATCAAAAAAAAAAGAAAAGATTTATTTATATCTCATAACCATGAGTGTCTTCCCCCACCAGAGTTGGCTTTCCAGAACCGTAATTAAGAGCATAGACGGTTTAGCTGCATTACAATCTCATCCAGTCCCTCAGTTTACCACACTCCATTTCATTCAAATCTTTGCTTGCCTGTCACCTCCTTAAACAGTATTTTCTTGACCAGTTAAACTAAAATTGTACCCACAAACACCCTTATTTTGCTTTATTTTTCTTTATATTACCTCTTCTTATCTGCAGTTTTATTTATTGTCTGTTCTCCTTTTTTAACAAAATCTACTGCCACCAGGGTAAATTCCTAGGGAGTAGACAGTCCCATCTTTCTCCTGACAAGCACCTGGTGGGTTTGAACCACTGACCTTGTAATGCTACTTTTTTCATAAACTTTTTTTCTTTTGAAATTATTGCAGTCACAGGAACGTGCAAAAACAGCACATAAATTCCCTTAAACCATTTCTCCATCTTATTCAATGGTAACATATAACTTGGACAGTATCAAAACCAAGAAATTAACATTGGAACAGTACTGTTAATTAGACTGGATTTCAGACCATTTTTAGTTTCCACCATTTTTTGCATACATTTATATGTGGGTTCCTATGAATTCTGTGTAAAAAATTTTATAATCACCACTGTTATCAGGCCTCCACTCATCTGTCAGTTTGTCATACTGTGGTGGCTTATGTGTTGCTTTGATGCTGGAAGTTATGCCACTGGCATTTCAAATTCCAGCAGGGCCACCTTAAGGCACTTCTGACTAAGACAGATTAGAAAGAAGGAAAAGTCAGTCTTATTTTTGAAGGATTAGCACTGAAAAATCTTAAGAGCAGCAGTGGAACAGTGTCTGATACATTGCCGTAAAATTAGCACCTTAGTTTAGAAGGCACTCAAAATAGGACTGGGGAGAGCCTGCCGAAGTAGAGTTGACTTTAGTGATGTGAGTGGAGCAAAGCTTTTTGACCTTCATTTGCTATCAGCAATAACTCAAAATAGGAAGAAATTGGTTTGTGGGTTTGAATTGCCTACCTTGCAGTTAGCCCAAAACCTCACCCATAGCATCACCAGGAGTAATAGATGTCTTCAAAAAGAAAATGGAATGCATAAAGATGAATTTGGCTAGTCATTAGTAACCGGAAACGGACTGGTATTGCTCATTTTAATTAGTTGGCCAGTCATGGTTTACTATGCTGGGAATGATGAGGAGTTATAGTATAGAATCATTAAAAGATTTATTTTACAGTATGTATTTGATAAGATAATATCCATATGCCTACAACGAATACCAGCTACAGCAACTATTATATTTATGTGCCAATTACTAATCGAAATGTGAAAAAACTGAAGAATTGTACCAACTGCTAGAGTGTGGAATCGATCAAATATATAACCATGATGCATTAATAATTTCTTCTTCTTGAAATGTGAAAATTGGGAACAGAGGACCAACCAGTCGTTGGAAAATACGGAGTTGGAAAGCATGTGATAGAATTTTGCAAGACTTATAACTTGTATATTCCAACATAAACATATTGCTTTAACAACATAGCTGCTACTATACACCTTTCCAGGTGGAATACATAGGAATCAAATTGCTTATATCTTATATGAAACCCAGGATTGATGAACCTACAGGGACAGCAAGTTGAATAAGGTGTTTGGGTTGACGGGGGTACCTTGGTAATGGTGAGGTAAAGGAGACAATGTCACAGACTCTATGTAGAATAGGAATGGTTGGAAACTGATTGTTGTAGCAATTGTACACTTTTACTTGATGTGTTTGAAATAGAAGTGATGTTATTTATATTAAATATATAGCATCATATATATATATATATATATATATTAAATGTAATAAAATTTTTTTTACTATATCAGTGGAAAGAGACACTGTAGTAGCTCAATATCAGCCAAAATAAGGCCAGGGGCTGACTGTCAATTGCTTGTATGCAAATTCAGATTGAAGCTTAAGAAAATGAAAACAAATACACAAGAGCCAAACTACGACCTTAAGTGTGTCCTATCTGTGTTAGTCTGGGTACTTCAGTGAAACAAATCCACAGAAACTCATGTATAAGAGAGAGTTTTATATAAGGGTTAAGTGTGCATCAAGAAAACATCCCATCCCAGTGCTGCCCAAGCCAAGTCCAATATTAACCCATTAACCCATATGTCCAACACCAACCCACAAAGTCCTCCATCTCGCAAATCAGACGCAATGACGCCAACTGCAGGAGGAAAGCCGAATTCATGAACATGTAAGCATCTCAGCACTGGCATGTGACTTCTCCTTGGGGGGATGTCTTGCAGGAAGTCAGCCTTGTCAGTTGAAGCAGGGAACTGCTAAGGCACCTGCACCATCACAAAGCAAGAGACCTGAGAACTAGAAAGGCGAGGCTCACCGAGCCACTTATCCCTCCGCCCTTCAGTTAATCCCACATGTGTTTACCGGCCAAGTTGGCACAATAAACTTAACTCAATATCCTATATGAAGACTACCTCAAGAATAGGCTTGACACATTGAACACTGCTGACTTTTGGCCACAGTAATTAGAGAATGACATCAAGAACACCATCGTAAAGAAAGCAAAAATCCATCTCAAAGACAAGGAAGAAAGAAAAGAGCAAAAGGGTGTCAGAAGAGACACTCAAGTGTTCACAAATGTAGATGAATAAAAGTGAATGGAAGAAATGAATTTCAAATAAAAGAACTGAGCAGAAATTTTCAAAGGGCATTTTAAGGAGACAAAAGTATTATAGTGACACATGCAAAGACCTGGAGTTAGAAAACCAGAGAGTAGTAACATTGTCAGCATTTCTAAAGGCGAAGAAAAATGCAAGGATTGAATTACAATATTGAAGGCTTCTATGGGCAAAATATTGAACGATGGAAGAAGCATCAAAAGGAGATCAAAGGAATACACGTAGTCACTATCAGAAATAATTGGTGGCTATTCAACCACTTCAAGAGGTAGCATATGATCAAGAGCTTACGGTACAGAAGAAAGAACTCAAAGTGCAGTCAAGTCAGGTGAAAAGCAAGAGTCCTGGAATTAACTAAATGCCATTAAAAATGTTTCAACAAACAGTTGCAGCATTGGAAGTACTCATTTTGCCAAGAAATTTTGAAAACCTAGCCACCCGACTGACAAAGTCCTTATTTGTGCCCATTCCAAAGAAAGGTGACCCAACAAAATGAAATTATTTAATAGTGTCATTACTATTAGATGCAAATAAAATGAAGATGATTCCAAAGCAATTGCAGTCATGTATTGATAGGGGGACCCGAGAAGAACTGAATTATGGTGTTGTCCAGGAATATTGACAGTAGAGTGGACTGCCAGAGGATAAGCATGTCTGTTTGGGAGGAGGTACGGCCAGAGTGCTCCTTGAAAACAACGATGGCAAGACTTCCTCTCAACATCCTCTGACCTTGTTGTCAGGGACCAGTACATGGCAAAGGATAGTGTTCTGGTAAAGTAGAGGGTCAGCAAAAAAAGAGGAGGGCCCTCAAACAGTGTCTGCAACAGTGGGCTCAGACAATGCCGGGTGGTGCAACACCAGGCACTGTTTGATTCTGTTGTGCGTGGAGGAATAGCTCAGTAGCACCAACTACAGCAGTACTTGTCATCAGGATACAAATTTGTTCCATCACCACAGACCAACTTGTTCTTTTAACTTCTGTGTTATGTGCATGTTTTCTCTTTCGTACACATGTACTCACACTCACTCATACTGCATCTTGTTTCAACCAGTTTTTGTCATCATTTCCTTTAACCTTAGAACAGTTCTAGGAAGTAATGACTGACAGTTAGTCAAGAAGAACTTCAGAACCCTCTTCTGAAAAGACTCCTCAGCACTTATCCTTTGATAATCCCCACAGAATGTAAATTGCAACAAAGAATTGTCTTTAATAATAGTTTGTGTGATCTGATGGATATTAATGAGGACAAACAAGAATCTGGGAGAATTTAGTATTAAAGAAGAGGAAAGGCAAGAACACTATCAGTCATAAAAATTCTGTCCCATAGAAATGAGCATATTTGGAATTAGTGATTGGCGCATAAATGCTTTCAAAATAAAACATTTTTGTTGACATATAATTAATATACCACACAATTCAATGGTGTGAATATATTACAGAGTTGTAAAATTTAGTCAACTGTAGAACATTTTCGTGCTTATTATTAGCTATCCATTTCTTCCAACTTCCATCATAACCCTAAGAAACTCAATAAATTAAGAATTTATTACCCAAATTTACCCAAACTGTTTTATTTTATATTCTAAAATTATAGTGTTATCTTAAAATTAACATAATAGTGAAAGAAAAAAAACCTTGTACCAGAGGTATGTGACAAATAGAAATAATTATTTTAATAACACATTTATTGAGGTAGTTTACAGATTTATAATGCATCTTTTAAGAATACTCAATTCTAGTGTTTTTAATATCCTCAGAATAGTGCAGCCATCACCACAGCCAATTTTAGAGCCTTGCCATCATTTCAAAAAGAAAACCCATACTCGTTAACTCACTGCACACTCACTGCATTTTTCTTAACCTTCTCTCCCCATCTACACTGCTTCCTGTATCTGTAGATTTGTCTGTTAGGTACATTACATAACCGTGGAATCATGTAACATATGGTCTTTGTGATTGGCAGCTTTTACTTAGCGTAATAATTTCAAGATTTATTCATGTTGTAGAGATAACATTTAATATAAGCAGCCCCTATATTATGAACATCTGACGTATGGTTAACTTCCAGAACCATTTTGTTCTCTCATGGTATACAAAGCACAAACCATAAACATACCAGAATGATAGTTAACTGATTTACCATGGCAACCAGAATGAGGAAAATTCCATGTTGAAACCCAGGGGGTGAGAGATTTGGAAGAGATGTATTGAGCCCTTTCAAGAGCTTGATATATGAGACTGGATTATTGGCAAGACGCTGGAAAGCCACATATTCCATGTGGTGCTCTGGGCCACCATTTTTGAGTAGGGCAGTGCTGTTTTAAAGCTCTACTTGCGTGTTATATAAATTTGACCTCACGTTGAAATGATTTTAACAAGCAGCACACATGCAGCTTGTAAATCATTGAAGAGGCTTCAGGCCTTGCACTAAAATAAAGCTAGATAAGAATCATATGCACCTGCTGTGACTGACCTACAAAGTCTTGGAAGATGCAGGAATCTGTTTCTTTGTATCCTGAGGTCTGTCTATATATAAAGATGTTTAACCAGGTATTAAAGAACTAAGACAGAAAGGAAAAATAATGGGTATCATGGACTTAACTGACAGAAGAATTAATGTGTTAACATTCACCTCTAGGGCTTGGGGAACCAAAAATGTATTTGGATTATTACAGTGTAGAAGCTTGAGGACATGCTGCTATTGGTGTCTCCAGAATTCTAAAAAGTGTTCCATGAATCTGCAGCCTGAACCTCTCGGAGTACACGTGACTGGTTCTGAGTGTGGTAGAAAATCTAACTGCAATGAGTTGTTATTGTCAGGGTAAAGAATCGTTACCCCTAAAGCCAAGCCAACCCACAGCCATCAGCTTTATTTCCATTCGTAGTGGCCCCATGGGGTTTCCAAGGCTGTAGAGCAGTGGTTCGCAGTCTTCCTCACGCCGCGACCCTTCAATGAGGAACTGTTTCCTCCTGTTGTGGTGACCCCAACCATAAAATTATTTTTATTGTTTCTTCATAACTAATTTTGCTATGTTATGAATTGTAATGTAAATATCTGATAAGCAGGATGTATTTTCTTAGTTACAAATTGAACATAATTAAAGCAGTCATTAATCACAGAAACAATATGTAATTATATATTGTGAAATATTTATTTCTAATTACAAATAAAGGAAATTTTGTTTTCTGATAGTTTTAGGTGACCCCTATGAAAGGGTCGTTCAACCCCCCTCCCCAAGGGGTCGCGACCCACAGGTTGAGAACCACTGCTTTAAACCATCCTCATCTCGCTCTTGAGAAGAGCGTTTGGTGGGTTTGAACTACCAACCTTGCAGTTAGTCATCCCAAAACTTTACCCACAGCACCACTAGGATTCCTTAAGGAAGCATTAACTTAGGATACTTCTGAAAATGAGGACCTGATGCCAGGGGCTTAAGTGGAGAGCATATGTTCTGAGAATGATGAGGGCAATGGATGTACAAATGTGCTTTATACAATTGATGTATGTATGGATTGTGATGAGTTGTATGTACCCCTAATAAAATGATTTTTTTTTAAAAAGGATATTTCTGTTAAGAGGGCCATGCTGACAGAAAAGGGAAGACAATAGGGAATAGTGCCCTTCTCCACCTTTGAAAATAACTTTTATTGGCACTTATTGGCAAAATCCAGCAGCAGATGTTAGAAACGGGGTTTTCAGAATTCTAGTTATGGTATCATAAAACCATTTAAAAGGGTGGATTTGAAGCTGAGCGCTAAGGGCCTAATAACAGCACAAAATGCATTAGGATCGAATGAGTTAGAATATATTGTAAATATGTATCATAATCTCAGTTACTAGGTGAGGATCCTCAAATATTCTAAAGCACAGTTCTTTCCTTGACAAAATAATATTCATTTGATTACATATAACTAATTAAGCAAAATTTATATCTGAACATCATGTAACATTGTTACAGACTCAGACATATATATTGTAAGATACACCGTATTTTTTGGTGTTACCAGGAAAGACAAAAAATGCTATTATCATTGTAAGACACCATCAATTTAAGGATATTGTATAACTTCAGAAATATTTAAATAGTAAAAATGTATTTTAGAATTTAAGAAACCCAATGTAATACTTGCTGCTTATAGTAGCTCATCCTGAAAATGTCCTTCATAATTGATAACATAGTATTACGGGGTTATGCTCTGAGGTCAGAGTGTATGGATTCACATTTGACCACGTACTAGCTAGTAAGCTTTAGTTTCTCTGTGCCTCAAGTCTTAATCTATTCAGTACATGTATTCCTTAAGTTGAATGTGTGTTGTGAAAGTTAAATGAGGTGATTAATTTGTGTGGAGTAGTTGCCACATGCACGGCATGTACAATGTAGTAAAAATGCATGAAATTTTAGCCATTATTAGGAGTTAAGATCCTCATTCCTCAAAAAAGAAGGACAATATTCTGAGGAAATTATGTCTCTGGCACTGTTGGAGGACAGCAGTTAAATTTCTTGTTAAAATATGAGATGAGTAAATATCACTCATCTATAAATTCACTGTTGTGCTGCTATACTAACAAGATCATATGATTATGTTTAATTAGATTCCTTTATCTTCTTTGGGATTGGATGAAGAAAGGTGGAGAATTTGAGTACCCGTAAAGATGAAAGTTTAGAGTTGTTGGAATATAGCTTTGAGCTAAGATTTTAATAGTATTTCTCAAATTTAGGTAATATACACTGTAACTATGCCTATCATTTCAAGTGGTATATTGATTTACGGGAAGTTAATGATGTCTCGTTTTCTTCAGGTGGCTTCCTTTCAGATGCAGGCTGGTACAGTGATGCTGAGAAAGTTTTTCTCTCCTGCTATCAGTTGTGTACCATACATGATGAGATGCTTCATTGGTTTCGTGCAGTCGAATGCTGTGTGAGGTGAGTTGGAACATATCCTACAACTATATGCTGTAATAGTACTTGGGTTTTATAGTTTGGATTCTTCTAAGTATCCACAGAAGCAGCAGTCAGTAACCCAAATGACATAGCACATTGGGAAAATCTGCTACCAAAGAGTCCTTTAAAGTACTACTGAGCCAAGTTGCCACTTTGATGTCTAAAACGTGCCTGACCCGAGCAATCATGTCATACGTATATGGAAAAATGGACAGTGATAATAAAAGAAGACAGAACTGTTGATGCATTTGAATTGTAAAGGTGATGGAAAAGAATTTTGAATATACCATGGACTGCCAGAAGAACTAACAAATACCTCCTGGAAGAAATATAGCCAGAATGCTCCTTAACAGTCGAGGATAGCAGAACTTCTTGCTTACTTTGGAGCTGTTAGCAGTAAAGACCAGTTGCTAGTGGAGGCCCAACAGACACGAGGGGGGAGTCTCGATAAGAATGGACACAATCGCCTCAGCAATAGGCACAAACCTAGCGAGGATGGTGAAGATGGCTCAGGACTCGGCAGCAGTTTGATTTATTATACACCGGTTACCAAGAATTGGAGCAGACTCCAACTACAATAAGTCTGCTCCAGCATTTGAGTCTAATGGTATTCATATAGCACCATTTTACTAGCCTGCCCTTTTGCCTCCTATCCCCAAAATATAGTTAACCTATCACAGACATGTTAACTTGGATGTGTTACAAACCAGATATCATTATCTTTAATATCATTTCCTTTGTCATAGAGCTTATTTATTTATTCAACATATAATCATTTATCCTCCATTTACTAAAAAGGAGAAAGAGTTTATTGAAAACTATATACAGTTGCTCCAGCTCCTACACAGACAAACTGGACTGGTGCTCTCTCCACACTGCAGTGTCTCAAGCACTAGATGGTGGCAACTGGAGCCAAGCACCAGACTCTTGTGAAGTTTGATGGTCAGACTCCACCAAGGAGCTCTGAGGTGACAGACAGGGGACAGGACTCCCTGCTCTGGCCCAGTCACTGCCTGGGTAGGGAACACTGTTCTGAAAGTTGGGTCCGAGAGGGGCAGAGAGGCTGTCCAAAAGACCTGGCTGTGCTTCTCACAGGAGCCCTTCCTGGATATGGAAGTTAACAGACCCCCACCCCAGGTACCAGGCCTCTTGGGCTTCATGAAGCTGGGACTGAGGCTCCCTGTTCTCAGGGAATGGGGCCCTGGAGCGCCACCCACCCACCCCCACCGCCCCACCCACCCACCCCCACCACCACAACGGCAGAGGCTCTGGGTTCCAGAGGCGTGGTTAGGGCATCCAGCTGTAGGAATAGCTTTGTCGTGCATCACCAGGTAGAAGCTATCAGACTGCGTTTACTATAGGTGATGGGTCATCTTACTAATCTGTTCTTCTGAGATGGGGGGGCGGGGCGCGTCAAATCTTAGATGTGCTGACAGGTGTACTTGCTGGGAATGCAGAAACCAAAGTGGAAGTCTACGCTTTTTTGAATAGCTGGTTATGGAAGTAGTGCCTCCTGATCATGGGGAAGTTATTAATGGGCTTGTCTCAGGTGTGAACTGGTAGCAGACAGTATCCCAGCATTGGTCCAGGTCCTGCCGGTTGATGTACAGCCACTTTGAGGCTGGGGGCTTCTTGATTTCAGAGAACAGTACCTGTAAGCTTGGAAATTCACAGTAAGATTTGTCTTTTCATGATTGTACTTGCCAAATTCTTGGTCACCAATAATAGGTATATTTATTATATATCATTTTGTTCTCTCCATTATTGTTTTTAAAAAATTAAATTTTTCTGATTTAACTTTCCTTAAGACTGAAGGAAATTTAATGGCTTCATTGGCCATGTGTTTAAATGAATTGGAATTTTTTTTTTTTTTTGAGTAGATACTCATGAAATTCTTGGGCTGGTTTCAGGGCTTTGAACCTGATGCTGCGAATGTAAGAATGTTTTTTTAATATAATACCACAAAGCTAGTTTTTGCTAAGAGACTGGCATTGAAATATTTTAGAGTGAATGTCTGAGAACTTTCTTGGCATTTCTGTAGTTAAACCTGATACCATTTTTCAGTCCTTGTATCCCTGTGGGAATCTGCCTGTTTCCCTTTACCCTTGTTCTGTTTTAATAGCTTGGCTTTTCTGCTCTTACATATCTATTGCAAAATAAATTTAGAAAATATATGAGAGTATGAGGATGAAACTAAGTACTACCTATACCTATTGCCCAGAAAAAGGAACTATTATTAATATATTAGTTATTGTGTCTCATAGAGTTGGTTCCAACTCATAATGACCTTATAGGGCAGAGTAGAACTACTTCATAAGGTTTCATTGGCTATACTTTGTGTGCATTTTTCTCCCACAGATCAGCTGGTGGGTTTGAATTACTAACTTTTTGGCCAGCAGCCAAGTGTTTAACCATTGTGTCACCAGAAAGCATGTTCTTAACCTCTTTGCACATTTTCTCTGGAATAGAACAACTTGTGTGAGTATGGTTATTTAAGGTCAAAAGTTCTCTTGAGATCTTTAGAAAAGAAAGCAGAGATTATCTTTGTGAAGAGCAGGCTGTTATTTTATTTTAAACCCTTTTCTGCTACTACCTACCCACCCTTTTTTATTTCAACTATATGCAGATACCACTTAAATAGATAATCTTTGTGGTTTTTTTAATGGTAAAGGAATGCCTTAACTGGGGATGGAGGAGAAAGACTTCAGTTGGATTTAAAAGAGAACCTTGAGCCTTAGGCCAACGGTTTTCAACCTGTGGGTCGCAACCCCTTTGGGGGTTGAATGACCCTTTCACAGGGGTTGCCTAAGACCATTGGAAAACATATATTTCTGATGGTCTTAGGAACCAAGACACTTTTCCTTTATCCCTCTCCAGGCGAGTCCACCCACATGCAGGTCCACCGACTCATGAGTACCCAGTGTGAAGACTGTTACCCATGCTATACCATGCTTCAAGACAAAATTTCATTTATTTGTAGTTAGAAATAAATATTTCACAATATATAATTACCCTACATATTGTTTTTGTGATTAATCACTGTGCTTTAATTATGTTCAATTTGCAACAATGAAAATGCATCCTGCGTATCAGATATTTATATTACAATTCATAACAGTAGCAAAATTACAGTTATGAAGTAGAAACGAAAATAATTTTATGGTTGGGGGTCACCACAGCATGAGGAACTATATTAATGGGCCGTGGCAATAGGAAGGTTGAGAACCACTGAACTAGAGGATAGCTGTGTAGTTCATCACTGCCATGTCACACCCTGGATTTATCATCCATTCCATGTAGCCTTTCTGAGAGGGACTGTCCGATTGCCTCCTGGTGGACTTTGGCTCTCCTCTATATCCAATCTCCTTCATATTGATTAGATTGTGTGTTTTTTGAACTTAAGATCTTCCTGTGGACCTCATGAGCACACTGGTGATGCTTCTTCCATGTGGGCTGTTATTTCCCTGCTAGATGTCAGTTTGTTTACCTTCAAGCCTTTAAGACCCCAGACGCCATATCTTTTGATAGCCAGGCACCACCAGCTTTCTTCACCACATTTGCTTATGCACCCGTTTTGTAAACTGACAATTTGTAATAACATTCTATTTTATTTTTGTAATAACATAAGGATTATTTTCCAAACTACATGAAAGGGAAAACATTTTTTTTGGAGATATTTTTATTGGGGGCTCTTAACTGCTCTTTATAACAATCTATACTGTACATCAATTGTATCAAGCACATTTGTGCATATGTTGCCATCATCATTTTCTAAAATCATTTACTTTGTATTTGAACCCTAGGTGGCTTTTTTCCCTTCCTACCCCCTTTCCACCCTTGTGACCCCTTGATAAATTCTAACTTTTTATTATTTTCATATCATAGACCAATCCCTGTCTCCCTTCCCCCAATATTTCTGTTGTTCGTCCCCCTGGGGGTTGGGAGGGTATGCGCTGCTCATTGTTCCTCCCTCTTCCCCCTACCTTCCCCCTTAACCTCGAAAGGGAAATTTTTAAATAACAAGAACAAAAATTCACTGACATCGAGTTGATACCAATTAATAGGGACCCAAAGGACAGTATAAAAATGTCCCTGTGCATTTCTGAGACTATTCTTTATAAGCCCAGTCCTTCTCCTGAGGACCTGCTAGTGATTTCCAGCTGCTGACCTTGTGGATCACAGTCCAACTCATAACCCATATACCACCAGGGTTACTAGATTTTAAATAACAGTATGGAGAAATGTTAGCCTGAAGCAGATCATATGAGGATACTTACAGAGATCACCTTGCTTAATTTTGTTTTTAAGGAAGTAGCGAAATTTAACAAAGATAGACTTTTTCTGGCTGTCATGACTTTATAGTTGTAAGTGCTACAGGTCTTTCCTTATTAAGTCTTTAAAAGAATACCCTGAAAGGCATTGTTATAAAGTGGCATTGTTGTAGAGATTTCTGGATGTCTGCTCTCTAGGAATTGCCTGACAGCCCTAATACTTTACAAGTGGTTGCTAGGAACTTTGGTTAAAATTTCTGGTGGCATTATACACAGACTCAAAAATTAATGATTTTCAAACCTGTTTTTTTTTGTTTTGTTTTTTTGCCACCCTCCCTCCCTCCCTCTCTCTCCAAACCTGTTTTTTACATTAAAAAACTTAGAATTAAAAAGTAGCGGTAGTGAAAGAGATGATAGAGATTAATATGCATGTGAACAGTTTGAATAAAGTTTTATAAATTATGAGGGGAATAGCAATTTTCTAAATATATAATGTGAGTGCCTAAGCACTGACTGCTAACCACCAGGTTTAGGTTCCAGCCTACCGTCTGCTCTGCAGGAGAAAGATGAGGCTGTCTGAGTTCATGAAGACTTACAATCTCAGAAACACTTTGGAGCAGCTCTCTGCTCTGCACTACAAGGTCCCTATGCATTGGAATTGATTTTGTGGCAGAAATTTTGTTTTGAGTATTAACAAAAGGTGGTTTACAT